GCTTGGCAGCACTAGCCTTACCGATGTCCATATCCATGAAGGACACATACTCAAATATCGACTGCTTGAGGAACTTCATATCTTTCTCTGAAGAAGCAGAATGACGACTGGCTGAAGCAGGGCGAGATGTCTTGACTTGCCCCCAGGAAGTGAACCAGTCTTGGATGGAACGCACAATTTTATCAGCATCCTGCACAGAAAGTTGCCAACATTGAAGGTTTTCACTACACTAAACAAAGTGGAGGTAAAGGTGAAGCAAAGATTACCTCATCAGCAATCTTGGAAGATGGCATATCCCCAGCCAAATCTGCCACCTGTGGCTCCACCATTCGTGAGGACTTTCCCTTATCTAAGTGAGAAGACCTTACCGCAACGGGCAGACTCATGGGAGCATCTGTAGAACTCAAAAAGCAACAAATCAAAAACCAATAGCACAAGCAAAGGTAAAGCGGTAAAAAATGAATTACGTTCTACTTCTACGTTTGGGGGGTCAACGCCCTGGGAAGAAGGTGGCTCATCCATTGGTTGTGATGAAGATTCTGGGACTGAAGATTTCTCTTTAAGGTAGTCCCTTCATCAGTTGGTTTGGACAAAGCAGCCTCAGCAGATGATGATGGAGCAGGAGCTGCCAACACCAAAGCTTTCAAAGGAGAGGCTGAACTTTTCTGAGAAATCAAAATAAACCATCAGCACATAGAAAAGTTTCAAATATGGAAATGTATGCTTGTGAGTAAACCAATTTAATTACGTTCCTCCTGACAATGAGAGGGATGTCATCATTATCATCAGCATCATCCTCCAAAATGAGAGATGCTGAGGCTGGCTGTTTGCAGCTTGGGATATTTTTAGATGCAGCAGGCTTGGCAGGAAGGGAAGTAGATGGACGAACAGACTGTTTAGCATGAGTAGAAGAGGAAGGACTCCTAATGGACAGAGGGGTGACCAAAACAGGGGAAGTGGAAGAAATGTCCGGTTGATCCAGTGAATGGAAAGCGCGATTGGGCATTAGTTGCAAACAATCTGCGCTATACTAATGGCCAGAGTTGTTCAAAAAGGGGATGGATGGCATGGCAAGGATTGAAAGGGGCTAATGAAAAATTACTCGTCAAAAGAAGATTGCGAGTATCTATAGCTTCTGCCTCTGCCTTATTAATGGTGTGGAAGCGATCTATCAAATTTCTTGAATAGCAAGGGGGAACGGGCCAAGTTTGGCCAAAACCAAGTTGGCGAGCAAAAAATTGGGGAGCATATATTTCAACCCCAGCTTTGGCATTGGTCCCAGTCAAAATATTATGAAACAACTCCCTCTCAATCAAAAACTGAATCCAAACGAGCAAAGAGGTGTTCACACTATCCAGAGTGGATGGAGGTTGCACATAATCTGGAGTCAAAAAGGGAGGAAAAGGAAAGAAGGAAGGGATTGAATTCAAAGTATAAAAGAATGAAAAAATGTCCCTTCTGGACATATTTACAGAAGTCAGGGGATCAATGGCTAGCCCATAGCAACTAGCAGAAAGGCTGGAAAAGGATAGAGCACCAAGCGATGGAAAATAGGCTCTCAACCACATTTGAGTGAACCAAAGAGGCCCACTGCCAGTGGGAGATGCACCATTCTTCAATTGGGATTGAAGAGAAGCCATGCCTCTATAGAGGGCAGCTAAAAAGAAAGAACACAAATTCAGAGGCCTACCATGCGCCAATTCGTGCGCTATGGGTAAATAGCTCATTGAGGGCTTCACTCTTGGCACACACAAAATGTATTTACAAAGCTAAATCTAAAGAAAAGCCACACGCTCAGTATGGGAAGGCTCAGCGCTCGAGTGGTTATGACAGGTTTGCAGGCTTGAATAAGACTCGGTGAGCTTTCTATCAAATTTTGGGGTGACACCAAAAATCAAAATACCAGGGAAAATGGTATCGCCCAAAGGTGGCAGATTTACTAGGGCCCCAACATCCCTTAAGGTAATGGACATGGGACCAAGAGGGAAAACAAAAGTATTATACTCAGAAGACCAAAAACTTAAAGCGATTGGAAAAAGTGCTGGGTCAAAAATAGGGGGTTGAAGAGAGATTTCTAACAAATTAGAAATCCTAGCACTATCAAAAATTGTCTTAGTAGGACCATGGTCCATAAGGCGAGCATGCTATATACGGAAAACGACATCAGATTTAAGCCAAGTGCGAATACCTCTTTCGCGAAGCGGCCTCAGCGACAAAGAGTTTAGAAACGGAGGGCCTTGAGTACAAGGGAACAGCTGACCAACCGCCGCTTGTTCGATGGCCTCGGCGTTGTTGAATGAAGGACCTAGATAGAACTCATTGAGTTCGACATTAGCTAGTGCAAGGAAGTTCGGAGTTATATTTGGCGGAGTGAGGAGTTTCTGGAAGTCTTCGAAACTGAAGGAGTCATCAGATTGAGATTGTGAAGCAGCCATTAGGAACGAAATAGAGTTTGTCGAAGTTTGCTTAAGAAACATAGCAGAGAAGCAAGAAGATGAACATTAATATTGCGAGAGAGAAGCGCGAAACAATGAGGCGTGATTTAGTCGTGCAATGAAATGACGTGTATTTAGGGGTTATAAGGATTTGCAAACGTCGCACCTTTTCAGGCTATGGAAGAAAGCAATAATTGAAATTCTTGGGAATTTCAAATGTTGCTGGGAAACACAAAGTGAATATGGCAAAAATTAATAATTGGTATTAATTCTGCCATATTGGGGGTAATTGTTGAGACACAAAAAGTTCAGCCCAAATCGAATAGCCCAAGGAATGAAGCCCAATTGGAGGATCCCCAAATCAGATAGCCCAAAGAACGGCCCAATTAGGCAATTCAGGATAAAGGCCCAAATATGGAAGCCCATGAGCGCGGTAATACCATCGTCCAAACTTGCAAGTCGCCAAGATTTGAGCGAATGGATTGTCATGCAGTCGCCCAGAGCTGTGACCCTGTTCTCGCCCAAACCTTCGAGTCGCCCAGGATCTTAGCAAATATAAGATGTTATGGTTACCCAAAAGTGCAGTTAATGAAGCAGTTATTGAGTAGCCCTATCACGTTCCACGATTCAAGAAATTCAATTGAAAATGTTAAACGACAGAAAGTAATGACAGCAGTTAGAGAAGGCAGTTCCATGACAAGTTGACCACTACGAAAAAAGTGGGCAGTTATAGAACGATCAAGCAATTTTTAAGTGGTTGATCACGAAGAGATCATCTAGGGAGTATAAAAGGAAGAAAAGACATAGAGCAAAGCACCCCGAATCAAACACTCTCAAACAGAAAATATGTAACTTTCAATTTCTTAGTTTAGATTTAAACACTTCTTTTCAGTAACTCGTGTGCTTGCGCCCCTTGGAGGCATTCTGTTTTATTTTTCCAATTGTAAAGTCATCGCTAATAAAAACACCCATTTTTGGGACTTTGTCTCAAGAGGTTTGTCCCTTACACAATCGTCTGATCTCTTTTTAATTGTTAGCGACTAACCCGCGCGAAACAATTATATTCACCAATAGAATTTAGGGTCTGTTTGATTGTAAAAATGAAATTTGCTTAGAAAGAAAACAAATTTGAGGGAATTTAATTGCATAAAAATTGTTTGACTGAGAATTGTCAATTAATAGTGTTTGATTGATATAATTTTTCACCTGATAAATGTTGAAATAAAAGTATTTTTTGGTATTCGTTTGATTTTGTTTTTCATGAAAATTGTCAATTTAATGGATATCCTCTTTTACAATTATTCCTGAAACTTGTTTTTTCAGGAAAAAAAATCAAAAATCATCTATCTTTTGGTATTTGTTTGATTTTGTTTTATATGAAAAATTGTCAATTTAAGGGATATCTTTTTTTACAATTGCTCCTAGAATTTGTTTCAATTGCCAAAAAATGGAAAAACCTGTAAATTTGGTGGGAATTGCTTTTCCTCAAAAAGCTAGAAAAAGATAATGTGGCAAGGGTTTGGAGAAAATCATTTCCATGAAAAAATTCTAACATCAAACATGGAATGAAATTTAATTTCCATTTTTCATGGAAAAGAATGGCATATCAAACAGAGCCTTAGCCCCCGTTTGTCTCCCATTAATTTCTATTCAATTATATTCTATTTTTTACTCTCCTATTTTCAACTACACAATTTTTCATAAAATAAAATTGTACGTAATCAAAAACTTTTCTTTGTTTTTCAGCCACTCATTTTTAAAAAAAATCATTCTACTCATTTTCATTTAAAAAAATGGGGCCAAACGGGAGGTTAATTATTTAAGTTGGTCAAGAATCATACTTGTTCAATTAGTGGGTTGGAAAATGTCTCAATCATACATTATAAATGCTTGCGTGGTGGAGGTGTCAGTGGGTTGAGGGGTACCATTATGTGACACCAAAGGAAAGTTCAAAAGGTGGAATAAATTCATAAATCTTTGGATTATAAATTATGCACATAAAGCCCTTTTCGTGTGTGTGTACAAGTACTTAATATTTCTTCAATAAATTCGTAAAGATGTAATTAAAGTAGGGGTGATCATAATTTCTGAGACAAATCTAAGTCTTTATGCACATTTTCTTTATTTTTGATACCAAATATGCCTCGTACTTTTAGCTCAAAAATGAAAAATTGGAAACTGTACGTATATATTTACATATGTAGTCTATGTTTATTGACTAATTGACGCGCTATTTACAAAGTCAACGGTTTGTGTATTATATTAACTTATTATAGTCTTTTAATAATCTTATTAATTAACCTTTCATCGGTTCAATCGCTGGATCATCTTATAATATGAAACTGGTGATGTAGATATTATTAAGAGAATTCAAATCAATTTGTTTTAGTCATATATTAATTAAAGAAATTTTAAAAGACAGACAGACGGCCAATTTGGGCTTTTTCCTTCAATTATTGCAGCTTGCCTGTTCAAAGAGGAAAATGAAGGCCATTAATCAGCAGCGAGTAGTCAACAAATTGGCGTTAAATACGCGTAGCTTTCCACATTATAAAGGACCTCAAATTCTCTCTCCCATTTCATCTTTTGTACTCTATTCAATCTTAGGACGGTGCAACCTTAAAATAAACAAACACATTCATATTATTAGTATTAGTATTAGTTGAAGAAAATCAGAAAGAGGGAAGCCATGGAAACAGCTGGTGATGCTGCTGCAGTTCAGTGCAAGCGTAGCCTCGGCCAGGGGAATACTAGTTCCTCCTCTTTCCGCCTCCGCAGCCCGAGTCTCAACAAGGTCCGTCTACGTCGAATCTTTGATATGTTCGACAAAAATAATGATGGCATGATCACTCTTGATGAGCTCAGCCAGGCTCTCGGCCTACTTGGCCTGAACGCCGATATGGCCGAACTAGATTCGATGATCCAATCACATATTCAACCTGGAAACACTGGCCTTACGTACAAAGATTTCGAGGATCTACACGTGTCGTTGAACAAAGTGTTTTTCGGATTGGACGAGGTTGTTGACGAGGAAGCACAGGATGAGTCTGATTTGTCCGAGGCGTTTAAGGTTTTCGATGAGGACAGGGACGGATACATTTCGGCCCGGGAATTGCAAGTGGTGTTAGGCAAGTTAGGATTGCAGGAAGGTGGAGAAATCGACAGAGTCCAGCAGATGATTTCTTCAGTCGATAGCAACCACGATGGACGCGTGGATTTCTTCGAATTCAAGAACATGATGCGTTGTGTTATTGTCCCTTCTTCTTGAATTTGAAATCTCCTTCTCCATCATTTCGATTTTCATTTTTTTTTATGTTTTTCTACCATTTCTAAATCTCGTCTTCTTCGTTATAGAAAGCACTTATGATTTGTTCGGGAACGTGATTATACATTATCGAACAAATCCCAGTATTTTGTACTGTCTAAGTATATTATTATCTTATTTTTATTGCATCTAACGCAATAGAAATTCTTCTTCTTGTTCAAAGGGCACTCTTGTATATTCTACAAGTAAATACATTTGCACCGACGAATCGAATGTATAATGCAAACAAAAACGTATCTTGGGAAAAACGGGGGAACTAGTTTAGATTGAAAAAATTTAAAAGCCAAAGAAATCCCAGACTCCGATAACTCTTACAGCATCTCCAACCGTGGTATAAAATTGGGTGTAAATTGATATCTTCAAAATCACTTTTGCATCCTCAATTGCATCTTGATGTGGATTTAAATTCAGATTTTGCTTCAATAAGAAGATTTAAATCCACTTTTTGTCTCTTGTGAGTTTTAGATTTATATCTTTTTTTCACCTATTTTGTTGAAAAATGTAATTAGCATTTCATTTGAATCTCTCCTGGAGAAGTTTCCGGCCATTTTGAAGATCTAAATCATAATTTAGATCTATTTTACACCACGCCTGAAAATGCCCTTATGAAAACAAAACACAACTTAGGAAAATGACCGAGAAACTGAGCCATGTTGTTGTTCTCAGTAGACTGATAAATCCACTGGTTTTAAGACAATCTTAATAATAATTTTCCCTATCAAATGTTTGGACATATTAAGAAATCGTGCAACAACATACGATATCATAGAAACAAAGACAGAGAGTTCGTTTTTTAAGTACAAGTTCAACAAAATACTATTCAAAATATTGTCCAAAAAGTTAGTCGGAATTCTGGAATGTAGATGGTCTAATTCAGTGACCTCAAATTTTACGAGTTTTTGACTTGACAAAGCTACATGATCTGACGTTCTGGTTTTTCCCGTGGAATACAAGAAGAGTTGCTGGGCTTTCCTACCTCATCTAATCGGGATAATTCTAGAATTTGATTTTTCGACAGTCGGCAGGTAAAGGAACTTTTTCTTGATCATTCTTTGTTGTTTGTGATATTACAGCTAAAGGGAGAAAAGTCTGTAATGAACTTACGGCTCGTTTGGTTTGTGTTATAATTTTCAATTTTTTTTTATTTTTTTTGAGTGTTTATTTTAAGATTGTTGAATATGTGTTTAATTTGTCATTCTAAAAAATTATTTCTCAAAAAAAAAAAAAAAATCAGGAGAACAAGTTTGGTTTGGATTTTGAGAAATTATTTTATTTTATTAATTTGACTTTCTTGTAAAATAGAACAATTTTATACTAATATATACATTTTAAGGTTGATGAATATTATAATAACTTTTCTCGCTATAAAAGTAAATTACAAACAAAAAATAAATTGAGTTGACAAAGATAGGAAATAGAAAAACAAAAATTAATGACGTGGATTGAGAAGTTTTACCCCTTTTTCATTTGAACACTTATTTCACGTGTTTTTGTGTTTTCGTTAAAAACACTGACAATGTCAAAAAGATATTTTGAATTTTATGTTATAAATTTAACCTTATTTTCTTACATCTTTAAAAATATCAAATCAAACAAACTTTTTGTTGACACACAAAAAGTTCAGTCCAAGTCGAATAGTTCAAGGAATTAAGTCCAATTGAAAGATCTTCAAAATCAAATAGCGCAAAGAACAACCCAGTAAGGCAATGCAGAATAAAGGTCCAAATAAGGAAGCCCGTGAATGCGGAAATACCATCGCCCAAAGTTGCAAGTCGCCCAAGATTTGAGCGAATGAATCGTCATGCAGTCGCCCAGAGCTGTGACTCCGCTCTCGTCCAAATATTCAAGTCGCCCAATATCTTAGCAAATATAAGAAGTTATGGTTATCCAAAAGTGCAGTTAATGAAGCAGTTATTGGGTAATTCTATCATGTTCCACGGTTCAAGGAATTCAATTGAAGACGATTGAACAACAAAAGTAGTGACAACAGTTAGAGAAGGCAGTTCCATGATAAGTTGGCCACTACGAGGAAAGTGGGCAGTTATAGAGCGATCAAGCAGTTGATTACAAAGAAATCACCCAAAGAGTATAAAAGGAAGAAAAGACATAGAGCAAAGGACCCCGAATCAAACACTCTCAAACAGAGAATATGTAACTTTCAATTTTTTAGTTTAGATTTAAACACTTCTTTTACAATAACTCGTGTGCTTGCGCCCCTTGGAGACATTCTGTTTTTACTTTTCGATTATAAAGTCATCGCCAATAAAAACGTCCATTTTTGGGACTTTGTCTCAAGAGGTTTATCCCTTACTCAATCCTCTGATCCCTTTTTAATTGTTAGCGACTAATCCGTGCGAAACACTTTTAAACGTTTTACAAAATTGAAAATGGGAACATTGCGTATATAAGATGGTTGTAAAATACAATTTCAAGATTAAGAAATTAGTTTTATTATTTCAAAAATCAGGTCTTAATTAAAATTTTATTTATTAAATAATTAATTACAAAATATTTCATTAATTAAATATATTAAGGTCACTGTATCATAGAATTTATGGTAATGGTTATGTATTAGTCACAATTACTGACGTTGCATTCATAAATCACAAAGTTTATATGTTACAATTTATTTTTCGATCACAAATTATCACATTAATAGGTTATATATAATTTGTCGATCACGAATTATCAAATTAATAGGTCGCGTATTATTTTTCAACCATGGATTACAAATTTTATAAGTTACAACTTATTTCATAATCACAAATTATCAAAATAATTTATCACAAGTTATTTTTCAATCACAAATTATTAATTTAGTTGGTCCAAACTCTACAAATTGTGAATTACAGTTATAAATTTAGTCGCAGTCTCACATTTTTAGGTCACACGCTATATTATTTATTAGTTACACATTAGAAATCAACTAAGAGCCTGTTTGGAAGTGATTTTGAAAATTGATTTTTTGACCGTTAAGAGAAAAGTGGGGTCCACATATGAGAGAAGAAGTCAAATATGATGACTTGAATTGTGAAATAACGGTCAAAAAATCAATTTTTTGCGGCAAAAAATTGCTCCCAAACAAGCTATAAATAATTGGTCACAAGACACTCTTCCCACCACCACCAACAAGACCCATCCCAAAACCACTATCGTAGCCTGAGCCATTGCCAAAACCATTCTCACCTCCTCCTCCATTGCCCCTTCCACCACCACTCCCGTATCCAGAGCCACTGCCATTGCCAGAAACAATATCGGACCCAGTGCCACCTCCGCCTCCTCCATTTCCTCATCTACCTAACCTATATTCTTAACCGTAGCCCAAAACTAGATATAAAATCATAACAGCACCACTACCAACTGCAAACACCACAAACAAAATCACTACACAACCAGGTCCAAAATTAGAGTCGTTGTTGCAGTACGTAGTCACGTCACGATTGTAGAGCACGGAGCTGTGTGTAAGGCTCTACGACAGCGTAGTTGTCGTTGTGCGAGTCTGAGGAGCAGCAACGTTACTGTGCCGCTCGGTGGAGTATTCTGACAGCATTGTTCCATGTCTGAGGAAGAAAAAGATAGAGAGAATGAGAGGAGAAACGGGAAATAATCGGGGTTTGAAGTGAAATTTGATGAGGTAGAATAGGGTGAATAGGTAGATTAAATTAGTTTTATAATGTTATTTATTAATACTGAAAATTTGAATTATCACCTGAGTTTTGGACAAAAAAAATTTTCAAACGAGATTTTTGAATTGAAAGGTTAAAAAATCTGCTTGGGTGTAATTTTCACATTGAACATTGAAAATTGACATCAACTTGGATCCAAATATTTACTCGACTTTGTGCACAAATCCAAACTGGTAGCCCATAATTTTTTAGAAAAAATTCATATCTACCTTACAAATATAAAGTTATTCATTAAATACTATTACATATATTTTTTAATAAAAAATACTACTTATTATCATATTAACACCAATATTACCTTTGGTTTCTGTAATTGAAATCATCCAGCAAAATCAATATGTATGGCATTAAATCCAATGGCTAGAAATATGGAAATTCAAATTCGAGTTGAGGTTTCTTGTTATGTTGCTATTCTCTTATCGATTTCTGTTATAGATAATCGTCGATTCTTTTGTTCACGTTTCAGAAATTCATCTTTTAGCTAGTGACATTCATTCTTTATTACGGGCTGAGATATCTTGCGGATCCTTGTCATCTCTAGTTACAGGTAACATTTTCATCACATAATTTATAGGGATAATTGTAGCAGAAGCCTGAAACCTTTAAAACACTAAAAGACTTTTCTCAACCTTTGATTTATTGCAGCCATCACCTTATCCTTTTCAAACGTTACATCTGACGTCTTTTTGGACGACTTTCATCCAAAATTCCGTCATTGACCAAAAAAATCATTTTGACCACATTTTAACAATTTTTAAAGGGGCAAAATGGTAACTTTGTATTAAACTCAAAAATTAAAAAAAATTAAAAATAAAATTGGTCTTCTTCCTTAACCCACCTCATCCCACAATAAACCCTAACCCAAAATCATTTTACTCGTCTCTCACCATCGGCACCAAAGCAAATCACCAACATCCACCACACACACACCATAATTGTAACCGCCGCCACCATCAGCACTCAATTCATTTTTCCAATAAATAAATAATAAATAAAAAATTGGCTAAAAATCCGCTAAAAAACCCATCTCTGACGACATCCACGGTCGCGCACGAACAGCAGGGTCCCCATTTCAGACTCAAAGTTTGGCACCCTTCTTGTGTGAACGAACAACAGGGTCCCCATTTTGGTTGTGGGTGGGGGTGGATTAAGGAAGTGGACCAATTTTATTTTTCCTTTTTTTATTTTGCTTTTAATGTAAAGTTACCATTTTACCCTTTAAAAATTGTTAAAATATAGTCAAAATCATTTTTCTGGTCAACTGACTAAATTTTGGATGAAAATCGTCCAAAAGGGCTTCAAATACAACGTTTGAAAAGATTAAAAGTGACGGGTACAACAAATCAAAGGTTTGGAAAAAGTCTGCTAATATTTCAAAGGTTTGGAACTTTTGCTACAATTATCCCTAATTTTTATCTAAACATTCTCCGTCGTGTTTTTCAATTCTGGATTTGCAATCT